TCTAGACTGACTGCATTTTTCAAATCATTAGTTTCTTCCATTTTGGTAATTTGAAAGCTTGGAAAAGTCATATGATCTTGGTTTATAACACCGATTTTCATAGCATCCAAAGTAACATCAATATGCTATGAACAAATATTCTGATGGCATTTAAAAGGGCTCAGCAATCACCGGAGAGGTCTGGGCAACTAGGTAACTGTTAGGGAGGCCTTAGTTTCCACCAGCCATAAAGTATATGAGAATCATGGGACCTGCTGATTTTTGGGCTACTACCCTGTGTCTTACACGAGGTATCTAATAAAACTGGAAGAAGACACTTCTGAAATCCATAAAATGTTCAGCTCAGAGCCTATTTTCGCCAGTTAAATGGGTTATTAATACAGTTCAGAACTTAATGTGGGATTCATAGACAGGTTTACTTTTCATTTTATTTCCTTTTTTTAACATAATGGCCAAAAAAGAATCCTTTTTTTTTTCTGAAAAGGGCAATTTTTCTCATTTTTTCATAGACAGGATTTATCTTATTAAATACAAAAAGAACACTTTACAACTACATATGACATTTCTACTTCCTCAAAGCACTTTTACATTAATTACTTCAACTTAATATCACACTGCCGTAAGAGAGGGCAATGGTATCCTTTTAAAAATCATAATTTTTAAATTTTCAGGCATAATTTTTAAATTTTCAGGCATAGAACTCTTGAGTAGCAGAACTAGGAGCAGAATCTGGGACATAAAGACCAACAGACAGACTCCTCCATCTATGCCTACAGTTTACAGGAGCTGGTGGTGACAAGAGTCACATGTGTCAACTCATGGGGATGCCATCGACACAAATCACCTTGAATGATCAAATAGGCCTTAATGAAAATATTCGTTCATTTGTTCCCTCCAATGATTTAATTAGTCTGCGGTGCAACTGGGTACTGGGATAATAGGGTTTTCGAAAGCCCCCAGGTGATTCTAACGTACAGCCAAGGTTGAGAAACACTGCTACACACAAATATATATATTTATCGGAAGTGCATAGCCTAGTTAGAATTTTTGAAGTGGACCAGTTTAGCCACACATATTTTAAAGGAGATCCCATACCTGAAATATCCGAATCAACTGCATTCTCTTTCTTACCCTGCTCAAGAATGGGGGCTTCAGTGAAATGATTATGGGGCCATTTGTGTGCCGAGGTATCCAGCTGCAGTTTAGCTCTTCCCTAATGCCCATAAAAATGAATAATGCATGCTCTAAAATATTGGTAATAAAAGACAAAAACATAGAATACAAACTCAATGGCCTGAATCAATGAATTATTCTGCAGACTGCTATATTGAGAAACTGAAAGAAAGTACTTTTCAAAGCATAAATATTTTAATCACTCTCCAATTGTACTTCTCTTATATAAATAAAAAGCATTCCATCTGCTGCTTCCCAAGCCCGGAAGAGCAGGAGACAGCTGCTTTTCCAAACACTCTCTTCCAGCAGTGGCATTAACCACCACGCACTAGATATCTACAAACTGGTGTCCCAAGCAAGGCAGGTTGCAGAAGCTATTCCTGCCTCTGATAGAATCTAGTGTAGTTTGTTGAACAAATCAAAATTTTGAATTGAGAGGCACTGCTTCTCTAGCGAGGAGCTGAAGAAGGCAGATAGCTGGGCCCTGCTCACAGAGCCCTGGGTCACAGGTTGATGATTAAATTTTGCCTTCCATGCTCTGTTCAAAGTGGCAACAGCCTGAGACGGTGTTCAAGAAAGTACAACAGAAATTATGTCTCATGTTGGGCTCTTTCAAGATATTTCTGAATTTGATTTGGACAGTCTTAGGGAAGAAGAAAAAACATGAAATCTACCAGTAACTCAAAGCCCATATTTGTCCCTAAATTCAATCTCCTTTGCTACCAACTTAATAACAAGAAGAAAAGTGAACTGATTTCACTTTCACTTCTTTTCTCTTCTACAATTTATTATCAGGTAAAGCAGAACAGTGGCTGATCAGCAGGCATCAGGGAAAAAAAAAATCAGAAACACAGTCTTCAAAATGAACTTAGAGGCTCTCACACTGGGGCCTTTTTTTTAAAGAACAAAACGGGGACATAAAAGAAAAGGGACATAATTGTATCTATATTTCAGCAGCCACCAGCAGAACTCTGTGACTGCTATTATATCTATTAGTAAAAAGAAAAACTAACAAAAGGTTCATATTTCATTAGTTTAAATTGATATACACACCTAAAAATCTATTATAACAAAAATAAATTATATATCGTCATAGGCAGTATAAAGGCCCCCCTGCCTAACGGTGTCTATGTTCCAATCCCCAGAACCTATAAATATGTTACCTTAGATGGCAAAGGGGAATTTAGGTTGCAGGTGGAATTAAGGTTGTTATCAGCTGACTTTAAGATAAGCAGATTATCCCGGATTATCCAGGTGACCCAGTGTAATCATGAGGGTCCTGAAGAGTGGAAAGGGAGGCGAGGAGGGATCAGGGGGAAGGGATGGGATGTGGAAGGACTCAAGCTGCCCTTGCTGGCTTTGAAGATGGACAAAGAGGGCACGTACCAAGGAATGCAGGTGGCCTTTAGAAGCCGGAACAGGCAAGGCAAGGGAACAAATTCTCCCTAGAGCCTCTGGAAGGGAACCCTGCTCTGCTGCCACCTTGATTTTAGACCAGTGAGACTCATCTTTGGCTTCTGAGCTATGGAACTGCCTCTCAGGCTGCGAGCTGCCTGCCCTCAGCCATAAACTGCCATCCCTATGCGGCAGCAGAGGTGTGACCCCAATCATTAGTGTGTGATCTACAGACCATGCAAAAAGATGGCACTAAGGCCACAATAAGGAACGGTGCCCCAAACCTGGCTTTTAGATCTTGCTGAAGACAGTTTTTGCAGCCATATAATTATGAGAAAAGTTCCAGAGTGCCACTTTGGCAGGGTCTGCTGTCACCTGGGAGGACCTTAACCCTGGACAGGCAGGATATCATCGCCACCAACCTGAGCACACAGCTGTGATAAACCAGAGGGACCCAGGAGCCGTGGTCACCTCACTCCACCAGCCTTGCCCACCTCCTCCCGCCCACGGCCTCTGACCTCCTGTGCCACCATTGCATTCTTGGCACTTCACGGCATAAACCGAAACTTCCATAGGATTTAAGTGTTTGAGTGCTCATCCTCTAAGTCAGTCCTCCGCAAAACTTTGATAATATTTTCTAAACACCTTATCCGCGCACAGAGCAACAACAATAATACCTGCAAAATTATCATTTACAAAAATTCAGATTTCTGTAATTCAGGAAAAGCAGCATGCATGAAATCTCTCAGTAAGCAGATGACCTGATGCCAAAACCCACAACAGCCACGGAGGTCTCTCTCCCCTAGAGGAACAGGTTTCCTCAACACGGAAAGCAGAGGACAGACGGCTTTCACACTGCAGTGCAAGAGCTGAAATGATCCAGGGCAAAGTGGCCTTAGCCAATTTCAAAGACTACGATTTAACTCTTTTTCTTTTCTTGGCTTGATTGAACAAAGGCCTCCCCGCTCTTTCTTCCCTCTTTCCCAGGGATGATTTGCACCTGAATTGCAAACTCTCTCTCATAATCAAGTGAAGTGCACTTACGAGGTGCAGTTACAATCATGAGGAAATTAATAGGCTTCTTTTCTCCAATTTCCTTCTTGAATCCCGCCTGTCCTCGGGCAGAGGGGCTCAGATACACGGCAGTTCTAGATTGCAGCTTCCAGAGCAGGCCTCTCTGTGGAGGGGCAGTGCTGGGGCCTAATTCACTGAATTTCACGATGGCCAAGATGCAAAGACTGCCTTGATGACAGATGAAGTGGTGTCCGTCTGCTGTGAGGGCGGGTGAGCTCCCTGTGCGGGGAGGGAGGCAGTCAGGGTTCCAACCTGACTGTCCCCCTTTCTCTGGCTTGTTTTCTTTTCAACCAGCACTGGTTCAAGATGTCACAAATGAGAAATATGACGGAAAAGAAGGAAGAGACGTAAATTCAGAGAGAAGGTGACGGGGAGGCAAAGACCAACGAGAATACTAAGAACAGTTGAAATGAGATATTAAGTCATGCACCAAGCATGAGCCCACACAGGCCCGGCAGCACGACAGTGACCCACCCTCTTAGACTCCCACACGCAGGCATGTCCCTGGTGCCAGGCAGGTGAGCATGGGAGATGGTGCCAACCACACCCAGAGCCACGCACGGTAGTAAATTAAAAGTATTAAAGGCTGAATGCCATCAGTTCTTATTGTCAATCATGCCTTTATCGATAAAGGATAAGGAGTTTGCTTATCTCTAAAAGCATGGACACCACTTCTGTTTCCTTTGAGTTGGCCAACACTCTTCTCTTCCCCCAACATCCACACGTAAATAGATGAGAGAAAATTACGCTTTTAAAAGAAATTATAATACAGAAAACCACAGGACACCTCAGTTCAAAGGATCAAATGCTTACTACAAATCAAGAAATGCTACATATAAGCTTAATTACTCAATTATCTAAAAGAGATCTTTCATTTCAATAAAAAATCTTTTCGACACAGCACAGGGGTAGATTATCTCAACACGTCTATAATCCACAGAAACCACTAGACTGGCCAGGGCAGTCTTCCTGGTCTCGTGTGCTCCATGCCCGTCTCCTGCACAGGTGTGAGGAAGCCACCTGCCCTGGGAGATCCTGTAATACTGACGAGGCATCCCAAACTAATGCCATGAAAGGAAAAAGTTCACCTTGACGATATTTGCTGAGAAAGGGTCTCTGCCAGTGGCTCCAGCTTAGATGAATGGAGCAAAGCTGCTCCAAGCTTTTCCCCAGAGCGGAAGGCCATCCCCAGCGCACAGCTTCGTGTCCACACAGGGATGTCTGTCTTTCTCCACTCTCAAATCAACCTTCAGTGGCGGTCGTTCTCATTCCTCCACCTTGCCAACCGCCACAGCTGAGGGACCACGCAACAGACCCCTCTGATGACAGCAGACCCCTCTAGCCCAGATCCACCTTACCTTGTTGAAGTCTTCAGAAGTTGCCCTCATTTCCTTCCATGTCTTGTTCAGGAGCTGGATGCAGATGCAGAAAAACTCCTCGAAGGACCTGTCGTGGGTGAAGAACATCGGGTGGAAGTCGTTGCAGGTCTCACCAGCTAGAGGAGAGGGGCAAGAGGGGAAGAAGTTTTAAACCAGTGAAATGACAGGACATAACCACAGGCAGGTGCCCCAAACAGAGGCAGGCAGAGGCATCTTTGGCTCCAGCAACGGTGGAGAAAAGGCATTTTGAAAAAGCAACCAGAGGAAGGCCCCTGTGCGCCTTAGGAGTTTAAGGTCAGATGTCAGACCTACCCTTAGGCACATATTTTGACTGACGCAAGCCAGCTCCTGACCCTCCCCGGGACATGACCCTGGTGGCTTTGTTCTATGACTGCTGGTGTTGAATACGAGCCCCACGCCTGCCTTCCTGACCTTGCAAAGATGATTCAAGCTGCCTCAAAGGCACAGCTCCTCCATCACCCTCAATTTCTCCTTTCCCATCAGAATGGCTGGCAGAAGATGGGCTTTCCCAAACACGCAGTTAATTGGAACTTTGAAAACAGCATCCACGATAATTTCTCCAGGGGGCTCTTTTCCCTCTTACGGCAGTGAGCAAGGGACATTTGAGATCATTAACCATCTGATGCCATTAACCATTTGTTTTGCGTTCCCAGACACAGATGCCCGGAGGTCACAACACTCCAAATGGCTTCGAAGGCTGCAACCGGTCCAGTCCTGGGCAAAACCATGATATCAGCCAAGTCTGCCTTCGGGCCCCCATTGCGGAGCTCCCTTGGGCGAGACCCAGTGCTCTGAGCCCTAGGTCCGGCCACCTCTCTTCTCCTCCTCCTCTTCCGACCCTCCCTTCAGCCCAACTATCTGACAAGCTTACATGGTTATAGACGCAATACACCTATTGCACCTGAGATGCAATACACCTCATCTGATCTTTGCAATATCACTTCCTACTCACGTCTTACAGACGAGGATGCCGTAGGGCCCAGGGAACTAAGCTTTGTGACTGCCCCCAAACTCTGCTCAATTTTTTCTTTTTTTAAACAAACATATACGCTGTTGCACACAGTGAAAGTGTTTCTGTTTTAACTGGAATCTCTTTAAAGGCCAGTGAGTCCTCAAGGCCCAGAATGCTGGGACTTCAGGCCCTGGAAGTCTAGGAGAGAGGAGTGTGTGTGTGTGGGGGGGAAATAGGAGCGGGGTTCACAGCAGAGACCTTCTGTTCTCAGGGAGATCCCGGTGCCTGCTGTGTGGGTGAGCGTCGAGTCCACTCAGAGAGGATCCCCTGGCGCAGGTCCCCAGCCGGCGAGTCCTGGTCCAGCCTGAGGGGTCACACTGCTCCAGCACAGCTGCAAGCTCTTACCCCCCCCACCTCTTCCCTCCTCAACCTTTATGAATACAGTGCATTCTAGACCTCTGAACAGTTTAAAGTGACAGCACAGGTATGTGTGTGTGTGTGTGTGTGTGTGTGCGCATGTCTACAGGCCACCCCTTCTAAAGGGACAACCTGGTTCGAAGATACAGGAATGTTGGTTTCTTACAGACATACGGGGGCACAGACTGGTGACAACGCCCAGTCATGCAGGAAGGGTCTGGGGCAGAAGGTTCGGGTTCACGTGCAGCACGCTCCAATCAGGAGCAAGTCACTTCACCTTTCTGAGCCTTGATTTTCTTAACTAAAAAATGGAAATGAAATCTCCTTTGCGTTCTCCCTAGACTTCAGAGAGGATCAAATGACAAATTCACGGAAGGGTGCAACTTGGAAAGGACAAAAGTTAACACAAATACAGAGAGGTCCTGGCGATGGCAATGCATGTCGTACCAGCATATTGTTCCCAGGAGCATGGCTTGTTCTGTGGTTTTCCCACTAACTCCTAGTCAAGCCTGTTCACATCTCAGCAATTAGAAGCAGGAACATTTAAGTCACACTCACCCCAGCCTGTGTTACTGGCAGAGAGATGGCAAATGTGAAGTTTTGACCTGAGACACAAGGCTATTTAAGGAACTACGAACATAAACGCGGGCGGATCGTGCTGTTCGCTGCCCTGCGCCATGAGCTGTCGGTGTCATTTCCATGAGCGCTAACGCCAATGAAATTTACAAGTCTACAGATGCACCTTAAAACATTATTGCCATCTAAGAACTCGTTATTAATCACATTATCACAGTATCATTTTTGGACCTAGTATGATTATATGTGTACTTTATGCCCTAGTTAAAAGTTTTATGGGATTGCTGGAGCTCACACAGGCAGACAAACTGAGATCCGCAAGCCCCACTCTTGCTTGGGCAAAGAGGGAGAGAAGCGGCATCATTAATAATGGTAGGTAGCATTTATTGGGTGCATATTATGCACCAAGGGCTCTACAGGTGCTATCCTTGCAACAGCTCTGCGAGGTAGGCACCACAGGTTTACCCTCTTTTTATAAAGGAGGAAGGTGAAACTTGGAGAAATGAAACCTTCCATCATGAGCTTTTTTTAGGTGGCCTCAAATGAGCATTTGAAACCCACAGTTTAGCTGACCCAGCATCAGGCTTCCTGCCTTAGTTGACGTCAAAAGCTCAGGGCATTTCCTTGTGGCTGCTGCTCTGAAAATGAATTTCTCCACCCGCCCTCCTAGATCTCCTCTATCCGTCCTTCAACAGAAACCCAGACCATGACCGGCAGTCCAACAGGGCGCACAGCAAGTGCAAAGCCAGCCCCTGCTGACCGAGACACCCAGCCACGAGACAGCAGCACTAGCGCCAGCAATACCACTGCCGGCAGGTGCGCGCCAGGCTCTGGGTGGAAGATTTTATCTAGGTTACAGTCACTTATTACAGCAAGCGCATGGGGAAGATGTTATTAATTTCTTTGTTTTTAAGATTAGAAATAGGAGATTTAGAAAGGTTAGCTGACTCGTCCAAGGTCGCATGGCTCCAAAGCAGGCAGTGTCAGGATTTGAACTCAGGTAGACTTGGCTCTAAGGCCCATTATTGCTCTGTTACATCCCAGTTCCTCATTCTGCTCGTCAGTTAACCCTGCCTGCCATGCAATCCCCCAACACAAACCTGCAATAACTGCTTTTCCTCCCACAGAAGGTGTTTATGAAGTAAAACCTTGCCAGGGGTTCCTCTGCTTTCCCCCTACGACTTGTGATCTGAGTGGAGTTAGATTCAAATTGCCAGGGTTACACTCCTCTTCTGAACCTTGCCCCTCATTTCCCTGGGTCTGGGCCAGGCTGCATTCTTGACAACTCTCCGGAGTCCCGAAGTAGTTAGTCACTGGCGAACGGTCATACCAGATGAATTTATTTGATTTATTTAAAAAAACTCACAAATCGAGTTTCATGTTAATGGAATCCCAATTTTGTACATGACAGCAATTTGCCCAGCTTAAAAAAAAATACAATTTGTAGTCTCCCTTGTAACTAAGAGTGGTAATATAACACAATCCCAACCAAAAATAGATACATGGAAATTGCTGGGTAGAGTTTTCAGGGAAGACTTTTCAAGGGGGGAAGACTTTGCTGGCTTCCCCCTTTTGCCTCTGCCTTCCCACTTCAACTTCATGTTTGGAACACAAGAGTGATGACCGGAGCTCTTGCAGCCATTTTACCAGCAGAAAAATGAGGGCTACATCCCAGGCAGTTAGAAGAAGTTCCCGATGACACAGCAGAGTCACCATATCAACCTGGAAATGCCCTCTTATGGAATTCTTTGTACATAATTTGTTTAAGTCACTGTTTTCATGTTTTCTGTTACTCTTAGACATGTGAAATAATAGATATGGAAACTTAAACTCAAGTAAGTACAGAGACCCTAGCATAAGAGAACACACTCAGGATTACTGCAGATCATGGCCGAAGGAGGAATGAAGAGGCAGGATAGCATGATGGTTACAGCCAGGCAGACTTGCATTCAAATGGCAAATCTGAGGCTCCCCTGTGTGCTATATAATCTCAGACAATTAAACTCCCTGAACCTGTTTCTTCATCTGTGAAGTATATAATCATATAAGGTTTGTAGGAATCAAAATCAGATTATGTATATAAAGCGTGTGGTAAGATGCCTAGCACATGGACGATAGGCTTTGTAAATGGTTGCTATGGTGTATGTGTGTGTGTGTAGTAACTACTGTCTTATCTTCATTATCAGCACACTATGTAGCTTCTTAAAGACTCCAACAATTCTGGGAGATGAGCGAGGAAACAAAAATCTGATGAATGGTCTTTGGGGTCCTATAGATGAAAAGGGGTGCAGTCAACCTGTCATTCTTGATGATTGTGTCGAAAATTTATAAAAGTATCCAGATCTCAAAGCTGAAATTTCACATGCTGAGGGCACATAATGCAGCGGGGACTCAATGAATCTGCTGTAACAGCAAAGGCACCATTAGTTTCCCTACTTCACCGATAAGAACTCTGAGAAACAGTGAAGTTAAGTAACTAGTGGCGACAGGGCCAGGAATCAGACCCAGCACTCTACCTCCAGAGCCTGTTTCCAACCTGCACGTGGAGGGACTGGCTTGCCATCATCCTAAGCTTCTGCAAGAACCCCTCTCACAGTGAGAAGTGGGCACTAAACAAGTCAAGAACAACTTGGTCCTTGACATGGAACACAAGGAACGGTGAAAAGACCTTGTATATGTGGGATTTAGGATGCCTTGCTTTAAGGATGTTCTCCCATCAGAGGCAAAGATAAAGAATTAAGTGCTAATGGTTTTCCTTTATAATTTTCAAAATGCAGATATTAAGGATAAAGGGTTAATGGAGCAGGAAGGGCCCGTCCACTTGATCTGACCGGCTTGCTTCTCTCCTTGTGTAGGTCAGAGTGGTCAGAAAGGGGAAATGTCTTGCCCAAGAGTTCATGATGGCGGAAGGGTTGCAAAGATGCCGGGAGTTTAACTGATAGGGTCCAATCCTGGCTCTACCATCTATTAGTGGAGTCAGCTGGGCAAGTCATTTCACCTGTCTTCGCCTCACTCTTCTCATCAGGAAATTGGGGCCAACCATAGTACAAATGTCATCAGCTCACTGTCAATCAAAGGAGAGCAGCTACTGCAAGAGAGCAAGCTCGAGGCCAGTGTGGGCCACAGGGTTCCCGTGTTACCATTCAGCAA